GTTCTACAATGCATTTACTAGAATCAAAGATGACACGGTTACCTCTATCGCACAATTGGCTAATGCTAAGAAGATTGTGCTTGAGGCCCTCAACAAGAAGAATGTTCTCAACGGTTGTAGCATTGTCTCTCCCGACGGTGCCACTTCCAATGATCCTTCCCTTGTTGTTGTCGCCAAAAACGACATTGCCACCTTTGAAATACTCTAAACTCCTAAATTTGGATGCGTCTCCGGTCATGTGCTTGGAGCATCCGCTATCGAGATACCAAGAGGTACTCGAAGCCTTCAAGCACACCTACAAAAAGATATCAAGGAGACGGTTTAGGTACCCATGTATTGTTGGGTCCTTTTTGGTTAGCATATGTGTGATGTGTGTGCGTTTGTTGGAAATGCCTAATTTTGGCGAAGCACACGGGTGCAATGTGACCTATCTTATTGCAATAGTGGCAAATAATATTTGAATTATTCATCCTATATGGTTGAGTTTAATGAGTTCTAGGTTTGCTAGGATGTGCTCTTCTAGTTTGATTATTTATCCTAGCATTTTTATTCCCCCTAGCTTTAACAAATGTTGTTTTTCTAGGTTGGTTTTTCTTATATCCAAGTCCTTCACCATTACTAACTTTTTGCTTAAGTAATTTATCTAAGGTGTTTGAAGCATTATTAAACTTTCCCAATTTGATCTCTAAACTAGCAACCTTAGTGATGTACAACTAGAGCATGTAGAAGAAGAAGTAGTTGAAGGTTCTTGTGGCTTTTTTACAAAAGAGATAATTTCTTGTTTAAGTTTATCATATATATTTTTGAGTTCTTTTACATCATTCTCAAAAATTAGGATTTTTTGTTTAACTTCATTATTTTCTTTGGAAGCCTTTTTGAACATTCCTACAAGTTCGTCTACAATGCAAACAACATCATTAAGAGTTAAAGGATCATTGGGAGAAGGTTCTTGATCACTTACCTCTTTTGACGTTTCTCCATCTTCAATGGCCATGAGACATAGGTTGGCTACTTCCTCCGTTTCCGAGTCTTCGCTCCCGGAGCCGTCGTTCTCCCAAGAGATGTAGGCACGTTGCTTCTTCGGTGCCCTCTTGTCCTTCTCGTTCTTGAGCTTCGGACACATTGGTTTGATGTGTCCAATTTCACCACACCCATAGCATTTGGGTGGAGTGTTCTTCTTGGCTCCCTTCTTGAGCATCATCTTCTTGAATTTTCGGACAAAGAGTCCGAGGTC